CATTTTTGCTAGTGGAGAATAGAAAATAGACATTTCCAAGGCTATAAATTAGAGATTATTAAAAAATGCACAAGTCATGTAATTCGTCTCCTGCAAATGTGGGAGGGCCCTTTAAAAGAACGTTTTCTAGCAAGCTGGAGTCTGGAATAGAACTCAGATCTTTAGAGGCCCAATCCTCAAGGCCATCTTTCCTCTGTTAATTTCTCTGCTGTAGAAATTCAGAGACTTTTTAAACAGCAAAGGTAAACATACATTTTTGGGCAGTTTATGTTTATTTTAACACTTTGATGAGAACACTTCTTCGGGGTTAAGATTAGCATTGTACTCATCGCGAAAGTTTATGTATTCAAAAATCTGTTCACTTCAGTTCTTCCAGCCTCCCTCCCAAAATCCACACACTCTTCATCACCAAAGAAGTCAGTGAAATTTTGTTACTTTCACAAATAAAATGTTGCTTTAAGACATGAAAACAAAGTATGAACCATTTTATGTCCTATAAGGGAGCAACAAAGAAGTAGGACATCTGGACATTTTCTATTTGATTTTTTAAATTTATATGTAATTACTTTATCAGTCTCCTTTTGAATCACACTTTATTAGACAATTTCAGAAGAATATTGCATTTTATTATAGTTGCTTTATTCTATTGTGCAGCAGGACCATGACTGCTTTAGTGGGTAATAGCTATTATAGAGCTAAAGGACGATATATAAATAAAACTATGTTGTTGTTATAATTTGGGTATAATATATACTTGGTTCTATTCACAGTGACTTTCCCATGTTAATGTGTGAAGAATGCTAAGAGGTATGGGATTTAGGCTCTTAAATCAGGAGCAGCACTGCCTAAGCACCTTTAAAATCTGGGCCCAGATAAGGTTTTACTCATACCTTACAAGAATACCTTTAAATAAAATCAACATTTGCTAATAATTGAAGCAGTTATGTGCTTTTCTTAATATAAGGTGAAATTGCCATATCTCAAATATTACTGTGAGGACACTATTGGCAAATGCAAACTTTTTATTGGCAGCCCCGTGTCTGGATTTGGTGCTATTAATAGATACTGCTTACCCAGGAAGATTATACTTAGCAAAATTATACATAGATTCCAAGGCAAGCATGGACCATTAAGACATCTAATCTGACCTCCTGTGTAACGCAGGCCATAGAACTTCCCCAAAATAATTCCTAGAGCAGATCTTTTAGAAAAAACATTTAATCTTGATAAAAAAATTGTCCATGATGAAGATTCCACCACAACCCTTAGTAAATTGTTGCAATGGTTAATTACCCTCACTGTCAAAAATGTATGCCTTATTTCCAGTCTGGTAGAGGACCAGGCGAACATGTAGCTCACAGATACAGTTAGGTATTAACTTATTAAAGTATATGTACAGCTATGGCAGGCATAATATTTATTCGGGTTCAAAACTACTAGAGCTGTTGGATCAGGGTAAAGGGGAGCTCCCTCTTCTCTTTCACACTGTAACCTGGGGGGTCACTGTTGCAAAGGGGACAGGAATGATCATACTGTTATGAGGGTAGTTTGTTTGCTGTCGGTAACTTTGCATAGTTAATAGGAGTGCCAAACCATTTACCTCAAGTGACAGGGAATATGAATGATACAGTATCCTTCCATGATTCTCTGGTGAACCATCTATTCTTTCTTTCTTTTCTATAAACTGGATGTGAAGAGACTCCTGACACCATGGTGTGTGGTATGCAGTGTTGTTGTAGCCATGTTGGCTCCTACGATTTTAGAGACAAGGTGGGAGAGGAAATATCGTTTAGTGGATCAGTTTCTGTTGGTGAGAGAGACAAGTGTCTCGCTTACACAGAACTCTTCTTCAGGTCTGGGAAACTAACCAACCATGGTATGGTAGTCATATTACATTTCAGGGTCTCCACTGAGTAATGTAAGGCTCCTGAACTGAGGCGCTTTTTAAAAAATTAGACATTAGGATTTTGTTATATTAAACATTATGTACTTGTGTTGCTCTTTCTTTAAGGAAACTAGTTTTGATGAGGTATCTTAGTCAAATATAAAGTCTATGCTACCAGAACACATTCTCATGGGGCAGAGAGGGGCTGATCAATAGACAGTATCTTAGAATGGAATCGCTAATGTCATACTAATGTTCACCTTTTGCAGTAATGGGGATTTTTGGATATGAAGAAAACAAAACAAATTATAAAAAACCTGTTAGACTTTAATTTATCTAGCTACTGGCCACCTCAACCATATGTACAGCCAAGACGATAGTTTAAACTATAAGGCAGTGCACCAAGGTTAAGTACAAGCCACCAGCAATAAAAGGAGGTGTGACAGCATGGAATTTTACTGTTCACAGCTGATAAAGACTTCAAATAGTTTCTAAAGCTTATATAAAGCTAAAAGCTCATTAAAAAATTGTTGGATAAACACATCTTTCTTAAATGCTACAATAGAGTGGGCCCAGACAAAGTAGCTAGACCAAGAAGACATTTAAAAGAGCTACAGAAATTTTAAACTGACATAGGATATCAGCACAGGGACAGATAGATAATTGGCACCTTTTCCAACTCAGGCTAGTCTTCACTGCAAGAGTTAGCGCAAGTTACTGCACTCAAGCTAGCCTGGCTTGAATGAGAGTGACCCCCACTGTGAACCAACACGTGAGCGATATGTAGTGAAACTCACATGCCCATCCCCATTGCATTTGTAGCTGGTGGTTCAGAAACATTCCAGCTCACCCACCTATCTAGTTCAGGTTTAAAGTACCACTTTCCTCCAGTTTGAATTTTTTGTTTGTGCACAGGAGTCTGATTAGTGGCACACCCGAGTTATACCTTGAGGCATATATTACAAACTTATGTCAGTATAACTACATTGTTTTGTCTCTGAAATTACTGTTTCACTTCTACCTCTTTCGCTCTTCCTATGCCCTGAACTATACTACAAACGTATGGCAGTGTAACTGTGTCACTCCGGGGTCTGGATTTTGCGCATCCCTGAGCGACTTAGTTATAACAAGCTAATCCCTGGTGTGGACAGCACTACGTTGGAAAAGCTTCTCCCAGCAATGTAGGCCTCCCTGAGAGGCGGTAGCTATGTTGATAGGAGAAGCCCTCCTGCCTATACCGGCAGTTAGAGCAGTATAACTACATCGCTCTGGGGCTGACTTTTCCACACCACTGAGCAACGTAGTTACACCAACGTATGTTTGTAGAGTAGACCAGGTCCTAATAAGAGCAAAAGAGGTCGAAGTAAAACTGATTTCAGAGACAAAGAACCCAGAGGAATTGTATCAGATGGATAGCCGTGTTAGTCTGGATCTGTAAAAAGCAACAAAGAGTCCTGTGGTACTTTATAGACTAACAGACATATTGGAGCATAAGCTTTCGTGGGTGAATACCCACTTCGTCAGACGCAATACGTCTGTTAGTCTATAAGGTGGCACAGGACTCTTTGTTGCTTTTTACAGAGGAATTGTGTTTATTAGAAATGGCTCACTGTGTTCAGGGAAGAATGAAATCATTGGGAAAATTTGCAGAGTAAAGTATTATGCGGCGTAAGCAGGCAGACTGTGGCTTTTTCTAATTAGAAATATTAAACACTGAAGGAAACCATGACAACAACTGGTGCAGACTGAAACAGGCAAATTATTTGTTAAAGAAAAATAATCACTGGATTCACAGAACTGGATTAAGCACTCTCTTCCTTTTGTACCCTGTGCTTAAAAAAATGAAAAAATCCATCTATGTGGTATAGGGTGTATTATTTCATTGAATTTTAAAACAAAGCTGTTTGTATAATGCTAGAACTGGTTTGTTAACTGCTTCACTTACTCACCAATAGGCACAGGTCAGATGGAAAGCATAAGAGACCCTGAGCTGTGCAAGCCCTGGAAAGCTGCAGATGTTGGCTCTATGACAATTCAGCTTTCAAAGGAAATGATGACCTGCTATTTAGTGGCACCAAAAAAAACAAAGCCATCCAAACACAATGCCTGGGTGTTCTGAGTGGTGACAAAACCAATTGGCTGAGCTAACAAATACTAGTTACAAATGTATGTGTGGAGAAACAACACCTCTTCTGATTGCTGGTTGGTTAAGAGTGGGGGCTTCTGTCACATTAAAAAAAAAGAGCATCTTACTGGAACGGTCCTTCAGAGTGATTGGAGGTGATAAACCTTTGCCCATGTTCCCCCATCTCGCACCTTTTTAAAAAAAAACGTTGCAACTGACTTCTCATTTTCCAGACAGGAAGAAACTGATATCTATTGGGCCAGGTCTTACTTAAAACTTGTCTTTCGCTGTTTAATATTCTTTAAGCAGAGGAAGGACATGCCCCTGATCTCGGCGGATTCACTGAGCATAAATTTAATTTTTGATGATTTGTACATCTTTAAATATGTAAACTACAGCTGGGATATGTTAATGTTGCTTCTTGTCAGTATTATATGTTATTTCATTGAAGGATTTCCATTGCACCTTGCTGACACTGGGGAGACAGAAAAGAAGATGCAGTAGTAGCCTGAGATTTGAGAGGCCGGGTTTCAGTTCCTTGCTGTGTCACTCTTGCTGTGTGTTTGTGTACAGTGCTTAGCACAATGGGCCTCAAGTCCTGTTTGGGCCTTCTAGGTACCACCTATAATATAAATATAATACGTTTACTGCAAGCTAAATGCGTCAGAGCTTGCATTTGGAATTTCTGCAAGCATGCCCCAAAAGTAAGCTTTGATATTTGGATTCAAAAGATTTGAATCAAAATACCCTTGGCTGCAGTTTGGTTCCAGATAAACTGTAATTTGCTATATTTTCACCCAGGTTTGAACTTGTGCCAAATGATTTACAGAAATGTTCATCCAGTTGTAATTAAAGCAACGTCCCTTTTATCATTGTATGTCTCCTCTCAGAGGCCATCAGTGTTATTTTATAATAATGGTGTCAGACGCAGATAACTAAATATCACTTGCTGATGTTATAAAAGAATGGAGAATACAAATGCAGGCAGAGTTGTTAAGCAATGAGATGGTGGTTTAATAATAGTCACTCTGTGGAACTATAACTTACATCATATAAATCACATCGATAAAAACCTATCTCTTTTTGGTACTTGCAGTCTATAAATACATCTGCCAATCTGATCCATGATGCTCTTTTTATTAAACATGTGTGGGCACACTGCCTATTTTAAAAGTAAAGCATACCAGCAGACATGGACTTACACTATGGTGGAGGAAAATAAGCAGTGAAAACAAACTCTTTTCTTAAAACTCCTTTTCTTTAAATATTCTAGGATTGGTAGGGTTGCAAGAGCATAGAAAGGGCCAGATGGTGAATGGCTACAATGCAGGTATGCAAATTGGGAGGCCATGAGGAGTTTTTTGTCTCCATTCCCACACCCTAGAGCAGTGGTCCCCAATGCGGTGCCCGCGGGCACCATGGTGCCTGCCGGGACGTTTATGTGCGCCCGCCTAGTGCCCAGCAGGGGAGAGAAGCCAGGGCCCCGCACCTGCCGGGGACAGAGAACTCCAGGGCTGCGGGTGCTGGTGTTCTCGGTCTCTGGCAGGTGCGGGGCCATGGCTTAAGCAGGAGAGAAGCTGCAGCTCCCACGTATGCCGAGGACAGAGAACTCCGGGGCTGCAGGCTGCGGGCGCCGGTGTTCTCTGTCCCCAGCAGGCGTGGGGCCCGCCTAGTGCCCAGAAGGGGAGAGAAGCCGGGACCCCACACCTGTCGGGGACTGAAAACTCCGGGGCTATGGGCGCCGGTGTTCTCTGTCCTCGCACCTTCTCTCCGGCTTCTCTCTTCTCTCTGAATTCACATATTATGTAATATTAAATATGATGTTTTTTGTATTATTTAATGTACAAATACAAAAGAAGCCTTGAAAAATTGTTGGTGCCCGCCACACTCTTCTGAAAACATGAATGTGCTATTGGCCACAAAAAGGTTGGGGACCACTGCCCTAGAGGTATCATCCAACATTTCAAGTACAAGGGCTGATCCCTGCTAGTGTTTCTGCAGGTTCTAGTTACCGCAAATGGGTGGAGGGAGGAGAAGCAATAGTTCTGTGGGAAACAGCATGGTGCACTCTCCTAAAGGGTGGTGGTGTGGCTGTCCTGCCATAAGGCTTTTGTGGCACACTGCCTTTCAGAGCTTCTGCTAGAGCCTCTAACATGAGCTGGGATTGTAGGTACAATCTGGCTCTAAGGTTTCAACAGCTGTTTTCGCTAACAATAAGAGCATTTTTAATCTGAAGTTAAGTTGCCAGGTTTCCCATTAGAAATTTTTTGTAAACTCGCTTTCATGCAACTGTCTCAGGCCATGTTTTTAATTTCAGTGTGGTGTGTAGTTGTGAGTATGATGTGTATAAAGTGACTCAACATCTATTCCACATGTGACTAGTACTGGAGACTTTAATCAGGACAAACAAAATCTGAGTAATCCTCTCAGGGGTGTGCCACATGCTTTTTATTATTAATGTGACCCCTGAAGTCATGATTAATGCATTAATCACAAACATATGATACCAAAGTGACCCATAACAAATGCATGACTTTATTGAAAAGACAATGCATATGACTGTGTGACCCCTGGTGATAGATACACAAACTTAACCTTGTAAGTTCTGCTCTCAGGGGCTGGAAGAGAACCTGAAATACCAGTTGAAGATTTGAGTTCCAAAATGCTAAACTCCAAGAAGAATGTCCAATACAGCTGACCCCCTTCTCACTAGAACTACAAGAAGTGGCAGGTGCCCATTCACCCTGCTAAGCTCTATGGGCTGCTCTTGTTCCAGCTGCCCCTTACCTCTTTCATCTCTTCTCTGTAGCCACACGGCCCCAGATTCTCAAAGATATTTAGCCACCTCCCTAGATCCATGTGAGTTAGGCGCCTAAATACCTTTGAAAATCTGGGCCTAAGTAAGTAAGCTGAGAGACAACAAACCTCAATATCCCTAGTAAATGTTTGCTAGAGTACTAATGGGGGTTCTTAGCAAACACCCTTGCGGTTATGATGTGTCACTACCCTGAGCTTAGTTACAAGATGGTTTCAGAAGGTGGGGGATATATTTTCCCTGACCATCCTCCCCTATGGGGGAAAGGAACTGGCTCATTCTGTTCTCTGTAACATTTTAACAAAGTGTGGCTAGGCAGCAGCCATAGTGTTTGACTTCCTGAAAAATCTGCTTGAGGAAGAAGCAGCCATCTTATTCAACATGAAGGTGTGGAATGAGAGGGGGTTCCTAGACAGACACTAACATGCAGTGAAGGGAGGAGGTGAACCACCAATCCTTTCAGCCAAAGGTGTTTTAGCTAAGTACTGATGCCTAGGACATAGGGTGCGGAGTGTGGATGACTGGGCAGGAAGGGAAGCGCCTGGCTATGTAACTGTATGAATCGCTTACGCCCATGCTTACAAATTCATTGTGAACATAGGCTAAGATTTGCATTTGCTTGAAAAGTTTTTCACTGAATATTTTGTAGGACTAAGGTGGTAATGTTAACAATTAACACCACTTTTAGCTTCATGACATACTTTGAAATATACTGTAATAGTAATTTAGCAAGCTGGCTACCACCTGGAACAGCTGTGCTGTTTGGGACTGCGGTGCCATGGTCAAGTAGTTTAATCCACTGCAGTTATCTTGCAAAGACTGATATTTATAGGGTACTTCCTGAACATTTGCACCTCTCTTTGATGTCAGGACTAGTCATATGTTTCTTCGTATCATTTTAACATGATTTCTTTTTTTTCTTTTCTTTCTTTCTTTCCTTTAGCAAAATAATCTAAAATAATTTAGTTATTACCTGATTTATTAGGACTTATGAAGATGAGTGACAATCATAGAGCAAGCCAGGAAGCAGAATGTGGATTAATATTTAAAATTTAAAGAGATCTTTGAAATTTTGAGTTATTACTATTGCTATAATTTCATTACAACCAGCTCTATTTTATTATTACAACCCACATTGTTACAATCCACCTTTTGTTCTGCCAAATATTTTAAAACTTTTATTCCATTTTTGTTTATATCTAACGTTTATGAAAAAATCTTTTAAAATGTCTTTCAATTTAGATAAGTGAATGGGCTAGATCCCTATGTGGTGTAACTTAGTACATTTCTTTTGATTTATGCCAGCTAAGGAGGTGGCACAATATATACTACCCATAGAAGCCTGTATGTCATAAAGTGCTCTGAATATAAAACTGTCAGGCCACATTCATCTCTGGTGTAACCCCACTGAAGTCAAGAGAGTTACACCAGGGATGAATTTGACTCCTTGTTCCTTGCCTTTCGATTATATGAAAGCTAACTCTTGTTATAACACAGCATCCTAACCTATCATTCAAAATGCTCAGCTGCAAAAAAAAAGGCATTGTAAAGAGAGTGAGCAATAAAATAAGATGATTTTTTAAAATATTATTTTAAATTGTGTACCATTAACTAATCAAATATGCATTTTAAATATCTTTTTTTAAAGATGAAATACCCTACAGTTAATGTTAAACATACAAAAGAAGAGAATTTCCAAACATTAGCATACTTATAGACTTAAACAGGTGGAAAAATAAAGATGCCATGTGAGCAGTTACAAGGTATGAAATGTGCACAGTGGCAGGATAGTAATTTTAGATTATTTCTCTTCCTCTAAATTCACTCATAGCTTGAACAGGATGGATCCTTTTCTTAGCAGAACCTTTTCTGACAGCTGCATAGATTTCCTCTGGCTTCTCTCTTTTAATCAGGGGCTTCTTTTCTGGAGCTTTCATCCTCCACATCACAACAGCATGTCGTGGGCCAGTAGGACTTTGAATTCTGATGATCTTAGTGGAGGCAATATAGGACATCTTCACTGTCTGCACCACAGCATTCATTAAGTTTTTGGCAGCCTGAATTAGTGAAGTGACACTATCCAACTGTAATGAGAAACATGGCTGTTAGCCTAGGAAATCAGTATGGCTTTAATCACAATATACACAGGAATAAACAACATTTTAAAAATAAGACTAACATAGTACAACCTGATTTCTTTGTTTCTGCTAGGAATGTTTGATCATTATATTCATGTTGTTCCCCTGCTCAGATTTAACAGATATAAAGTAATTTGGTATGCTGGAATATAAATGTCTGTGAAAATTTTTCTTTTTTAACGTGAATTCATGATGGCTGTCTGCAGGGTATCATTGCAATTCATATTGATGGTAAAGAGACTACCTTACAGAAGACCAATGAAAGTGCTACGTGTTGATTCCTTACAATCCAGCACTAGACAAAATTCTCCAGTTGTTCCTACGTTATTTCAATGTCTCCCTTGCATGCTCCGGAGAAATGTAGGACTATTGTGACAAGTAAATGTATTCAGCAGGAGTATGGTATTTTTTTAATTTTCTTTAGGATTTTCAAAGGAGACTAGGAGTTAGGTGCACAACTCCCATTGAAATGCAAAGGGAAATGCATGCCTAATTCCATTAGGTTTAGTTAAGAGAGAGAGGCAGCATGGTCTGGATAGGAAATAGAAAAGGACTAAGGAGACCTAAGTTCTATTTCCAGCTATGAAATGTGTCCTTGGGGAAGTCATTTCACTCTTCTAACTCTGCGCCAGATTGGATGTTTTTCTAAAAGATATGCTCTAGTTGAAACAGGAATTATTTGGGGGAAGTTCTATGGCCTTGTTCTACAGGAGGTCAGACTAGATGAGCAGACTGGTCCCTTCTTCTGGTATTACTTTCTGAAAATCCCAGCGTAAATAGGCAGAATGTACAGTATAACCCTTATCTTGTTGGAATATGTTGTCAGCTGTCTGTATTTAAAGAAGTTTTGCCATCCCCATGCAAATTTTAAAGTAAAGGAATCTTTCATGAATACTTGTGGGCACTATAATAATTAAAAATCTGCTAATTAGGACAAGCCGTGTCAGCGCTAACTAGCACATGTAGGTGGCTGAGAAGTCCTAGGTTGCACTGCAATTGCAAGTCAGGGAAGTTGTTACAGGCCAAACTGGGACACACACACGCTTCTTGCTCTCTACCTTTTCCCCTGCAGAGCCAACACAGGCCCGACGTCTGTGAAAAACAGGGTGTGCAGAATTCCCTATTGACCATCGTTGAGCCTTCCATAGCAAATCAGGGCACTTGAGGAGTAAAATACTGGACCAGGAGAAGTGTCGCCTGGTTAGGTGATATGTTTACAATTTCATTTCTTTTTCTATGGGAAATAGTTTATAACAGAGCCAGATAACAGCTGGACAATACCATATTTCATTTTGAGTGTGGTCCCCTTGCTGGTGTTAAAATTCTTTAGTATTTATTTCCATGAATTAAAGATTCTTTCTACCTTCAACTTAAGCTGTCTTTGTCATATTGCAACAGCGCGTTGGCAAGGGATACATATACTGTATAAATCAGATCAGTGACCTGAATGAGTAACTTTTATCTTCAAGGAAGGAGCCACCATGTTCATATTTAATTGTAAGGCTGACAGTTTCAATTTGGAGCTGCATCTCCATTTTGAATAACCCAACGTAAACCTTGCTTTCATTTTTTACCCTCCAATTTACCTGAGTACTTATTATTTTTGAAGTTTGGTTGCTAGTGAGGCAGCATGGCATTTTATGACAGACTCTTTATTGCAGAAACATTTAAGGAATAGAATTAACAATGTCCTATTCAGATTGCCAAAATGCGAATAGCTTGAGTTTTAAGGTAATGCATAGCATGCCGCAAAGGGAAAATTTTCCTTATGACATATTGTGATATAGGTTGATAGGATGGAGTTTGTTTCAGATTTTTCTTGTGCGTATATTAGTGATGAGAAAACCTAACAAGGTCTATATAAGAATTTTAAAAAATTACAATTTTGGAAGACACACTTTGGAAGCCCATTCTTTCTTCCTGATCAGAGAAATTTTTCTCCCTTCTCAAACTCCGAACAAAATCTCACCCATAGAGGACATTCAATTTTAGTGTGGTCTCTGGTCTGAAGTTCTGTCAGGATGCTTTATTAAAATTCCTTCAGCAGCCAGGCTTTCCTTGGTACTTTTGAAATTTGGAGATTTGACAAAATGGATTTTAGCAAACAGGAGACTTTAATCCCACTCTCCCACATTTATAGATTAGTTTGGTGTGAGGAGAGAGTGTGTATAGGGTTCGTAACCAAACCCGAATAATGACTGGGTTCATTTGGGAAATGAATGAAGACCTGAATCAGTTGAGCAAGCCCTATAGATAATCACTAGTTCATGGTTTCTCTGAAAAAAAAAAAGTTCTTCTTCGTGTGCTTGTTCATGTCGATTCCAATCAGGTGTGTGCATGTGCACAGTAACCAGAAGATTTTTCCCCAGCAGCAACCGTAGGGTCGACCTGGGCACCCCCTGGAGTTGTGCCTTCATGGCGCCCAATATAGAGCCCTGCTACCTGCCAACCCCTCAGTTCCTTCTTACCTCCAGTGATGGTAGCTGGAAATTCCTTTGCTCTTGCTCCGGCAAGTAATCTAGCAGTTCAATTCCTGTTGTACTCACCTTGTTTATTCCAATACTGTAGTTTAGTATAGTTAGTCAGTTATAAGTTTCATTTATGGGGGTTTGCCCCCCACCGTTTCTCCCCCTTATTTGTTGCTTTCGGGGCATGCTGCCATCCCCGGGCTTCAAGACCTACAAGGACTATGTGAAGTGCATGCCAAAAAGTGACCCCCCCCACACACCTCCTGTTTACACTGTCTGGGTGAGGGTCACAACAAAGACCGCTGTAAAATCTGTCAGGAATTTCCACCAAGAACCCTGAAAGAGAGAGAACAGTGGCTTAAAATCCTCTTCGTGGAGGTAGCTCTTTGACCGCAGTCACACCCTGGTGCTGGGGATCCCACCACCACATGTCTTCTTCACCGCGGAGCGCACCGGCACTCTCTTCAAGAGACCAGGTGCCAAAGAAAGACAGGGCCAAGAACTCTAGGCACCATCATGGAGCACCTTGGGACCGGTGCCGAAGGCTGGAGTGTCCCCAATTGCCAGTGCAGAAGAAGAAGAGGATCAAAAGGGGCTGATCCCCTTTGCCTAGATCCAGAGACCAGCCATCAGTGGCACCACAGTCCACTCGGATAGTCTGCCGCTTCCTTCCACTCCTGAAGCGTTTGAGGCAGCACAGGACCTGCTCAGACTCATGGCGCCATTCTCGCCCCCGAGACAGGAGAAGGCGTTGGCACCGCAGACTCTATCCCGTACTGTGCAGTCGAAGGGAAAGCCGGCTATGATGTCGCGCCTCTCCCCATTGCCTTGGTAATCACAGACACCAATGTCTCCATCCAGGGAGCGCAGTTGGTCCCTGGGCTCCCAACGCTCCATGTTGAGAGGTGCAGTGCTGCCCTGGTCCTCGTATTCCAAGACCTCTGAGTTGGACTCGTACCACTTCAACTATAGCAGGAGCAGAAGATCAAACTCAAGGCACCACAAGAGGTCCCAGCTGATGCAGTGGGCCCCTCAATGGCAGAACCCAGCTCAGTGGCCCTTCTGGACTCCAGGGGCTTTTCACCAAGCTCAGGGTTGGAGCCAAGGATCTCGCTGCTTCAGTCACGTCTGCAACCTTTGTCCCACCCAGTCCAGCGACTGAGCAGTTACCTCTGGCATCGATGCCGGCACCGCGGCACCGTTGTTGACATTGTCACCAACTGTGGCACCACCTTCGAGAACATCCTCGGCACCGGAGGTGTCAGAGGCTCAGGTTATGGCGCCAACCGTGCCCTCAGCACTGACTACAGCTCTGGCACTGATGCCCAACACCATCTGCGCCGACGTCGATTACCACCATGGCGCAGACACACCATCATACAGCGCTGCCAGCACCAGTGTGGGGGCCGACATCTGTACCTGTGTCTTTCACGGTGCCGAGACCGGACCATCCCACCACTGTCCCCACCAGCTTAAGAGATCCCTCTGGTGGGGATGGAAGGGAGCAACCACCTCCCTAGGTGACCTCCTCATCTTCCCCAGACGAGGTGCTTGCAGGCACTGCCATTGCCCCAGCTCTGGAAGACTACAGCATGTGGCAGCAGTTGCTGCGTCGGGTTGCACAGGGTCTGGTGCATTAAGGCGGAGGAAGTTGTAGATGATGCAGATCCTATGGTGGACATCCTGGCCCTTTGGGCCCTTCCAGTATCGCCTTACCGCTAATCAAAAGTATCACTGATATGACCAAGACCCTGTGGCAGACCTCGGTGGTACTCGGTGCCCTCCAAGGGCTACGAACATCTATACACACACCCACAACCTGATTATCTAGTGTTGGATGCTGCTAACCAGTGAGAGAGGCAGGGTTTCCAGGGCCCTTCCCCCAAGAATAGGGACGCAAAGGAAAGGGACCTATTTGGGCAGAAGGTATACACCATGGGGGGACTGCACTCCGCATTTCCAACCAACAGGCCATCCTCAGCAGGTATGCCTACAATACCTGCTCAGTGATGGCTAAGTTTATGGAGTTACTTCCCTTGGACTCCCGGGCTGAACTCTCGGCTTTGGTCAAGGAGGGGAGAGTGATCTCCGGGGCATCTCTGCAAGCAGCACTTGATGGGGCAGATGCTGCCACTAGAGTCATGGCTACAGGTGTAGCCATGAGAAGGGGCTCGTGGCTCCAGGTCTCAGGTCTCCCCTTTGAGGTCCAAGAGACCATACAGGACCTGCCTTTTGAGGGTGACACACTGTTTTCAGAAAAGACAGACAAAAGGCTAAACAGTCTGAAGGACTCTAGAGCCACCCTCAACGTCCCTGGGCCTCTACATGCCTTCCACTCAGCGGAGACACTTCCGGCTGCAGCCCACTCAGAGGTTCGGTCAGCAGAACCACCAAGATGGCTCCAGAAGGCGGAACAGAAATGGCAGGAGAAGGCTGCGTCAACCTTCTGGACAGAGCTCTGGACAACCAAAGCCGTCT